ATGTACTTTTGGTTAGCCGTATGCCTTAAAGCATCTAACTGCTAAGAAGATTGAGCTATCATGTTGGGAACTTGCAATTGTGATAACACATTAGAGGAAACAGAGGTAAAGGTAAAGTTCCTATTAGAAAAATGTGCAGTTTTTAACCCTAATTAGAGAAATTTGAGTCAACCAGACAGTGTTCTGGTTTTGGTTTCTTAAAATTAATTTAATTTTATTTTCATTTGTTAAAGTCTTTAGTGTTCCATGTTCAGGCTTAGATAAAAATAATCTACATTCTTTAACCAAATCAAATTATCTGTCTTTTATGCCTAGTCAATGTATATAGCCTTGAAAAGAAGGAATGATTGGGGGCAGCGCACAGCCCTGGAGTCAGGAGGATCTGAGTTCAAATTCGGACACAGACATTAAACACTTGCTAGCTGTGTGACTCTGGGCAAGTTACTTAACCCCAAAAAACCCACCAAAATCACTTAAACAACCCCCCCAGCCCCTTCCTCCCCAATAATGAATTTTGGTTAAAAAAAGGCAAAAATCAATTTTATGTGCATATGTAAATATGTACATTTCTATGCAATTATATATAGATATGCACATATACACATACACACATACATAAAATCCTCTTCAGAATGCTATCACATTTTTTAAAGGTGTTAATGTGGTAGTTTCTTTTTCTTTTTGAAAAAAAATCCAAATTCTGCTTTACTGTCTGTTTTAATTTCAACATTAAAAATAGCAGTCACATCCTGACTAAATCAATTGTTTGTAGTCTAGTGAATTTCCATAATATTGTTTACCATTCCATTTTGTTCCTTAGGTTGAGTTACACTCATCTTCTTCTACAGCAGTGTGCTTCTTATAAATATAAATATCTTAAGTTTAAAGTTACCTACTGTCACTTTCTTCCCCCAATATTGTATTGTTTTTAAAGAAATAGACTGAAGTATAGCTGCCATAGTCTTTGTTTTCATATTCTTTACCGCACATACATAGAATCATATTCTTGGGTATGGGTGTGTGTACACACAGGTGCCCATAAGCTTACTTCTATGTATGCATACACCCACTCTTTGGATCTTAGAATATTGATTCTTGTGTTGGATTCATATGATAGCTTTATGATCTTTTCACATGTTTTTGTGTTGTCTGATGTTGAGGGTAGCATTCTCTTTGGTCTTTATTATGCATAGCTGACCTTTGAAGTATATTGCTTTTAAATTTTTCAAGGAGTAGATCTTAGGAAAGTGAATGAGGTTCTTTCTATACATCCTTTATGTTCCAATGTACTATTCAAATTATAGTTTATTGGCTGGCTAAGTGCCATCTGTAGGATCAAACAATACATTTACAGTATTGAATGATATCACCTAAAGCTTTCTGAATTACTGTGAGCATTATGAATATTTATAATGGAATGCTCATTACATTTTCTCTTTGCATTTTCTTACTTTGCTACATAATTATGTATGAACAAAAGAAATGTTGTTTAGTTTGGAACTGTTTTAGTGGCCATGGTGGGTAATCTCAGATGTCTAATGAAGTTGCAGAGAGGGAAGCAGAATACATTAAGGGTTTGGTAGAAGAAATAACAACTCAGGTTGTTATAACTAAATCCTCTTTTACTATTAAGATAATTACAAAATTGTCCACTCATAGATTCTATACTAGCCTACTTCTTCCATTTGGTTATTGAAAGGATTGGGAGGGTAACCCTGGATATGTGATTCCTGTTGGCAGCCAAAGACTCATTATTTTTATAATCTGAAGGTAATTCTTTTGTCATGAGGAAAATTTCCTTCTATACCAGAAAAGGAAAGAAGGGTCAATCATATTAATAGTAATTATTAAATCATTCATTCAATAAATGTATAATCCTCTATCTTCTAATTGAATATATTTGGGGATGTGGAGGCTACTGCTTTACATGAAAACAGGTATTGGTAGATATTAATATATTTGTTACATCTGGTTTGATTTTCTTCTTGGCAGCGTGGCAAGATTGCTTGGTCTTTTGTATTATGTAACTAATTCTGTATAAATATATGTGTATGTTTATGTACTTTTATATATTTATATTATCTCAGTTTTATAAACTTTCCTTTGAAATCTTCTAATCATACCATAAAAACACAATAATATTTAAGTATTTCCCTAATTAAGTGGCTCCTTTAAGTTTAAATAAACAAGCATTTTCCCTATTGCCTTCTATGGTTAATATTAGGAAAGATATTGCTAAACTATTTCTCAGTAATTTCTTTTTAAAAATCATATATCGTAATATGGTTTATAAATTTTTATTTTACATGCTTCAGGACCTAGAAATCCAGGTAAGTTGTGAAATAAAGACCTGCAATGTACATAAATGGGTTCAAAACATGGGCATTTACATCATCTTTTTTTTTTTTTTTTTTGGCTGGGCAGTGGGGTTAAGTGACTTGCCCATGGTTACACAGCTAGTAAGTGTTATGTGTCTGAGGCTAGATTTGAACTCAGGTCCTCCTGACTCCAGGACCACTATCCACTGCACTACCTAGCTGCTCCCATTTACATCATCTTGAGAAACCTATGTCTGTGTATCATGGGGAGGAAATCTATTCAGTCAGCAAGTATTTATTAAATGCCTGTCATTTGCCAGGCACTATGCTAATCTCTGGGGATACCAAAAAAAAAAAAAAGGCAAAATGCAATGTCAGAGAAACTTTTAATTTTATTTTTAAATTAAAATTGACAGGAAGTATTAAACATTGATTTGATTGTCTTCTTGGTTTAAGCTAATGTTATGCTTTTCCTCAAAGACAAAAATGGAATTAATGCATATTCTCTGCCCTTAAACAATTTGGGTCTAGTTAGAGAAAAGAAACAGGTACAAATGATTATTAGCTAGTGGTTAGCATGTAGGAATTCTTTCTTTGGACGATATGAGTTTGAGTTAATCCTTGAAAAGTGAGACTAGATAAGTCATTTCAAGCTAACGGAACAGCATAAGCAAAAATGAGGTAGGCAGGAAAGAATAAATTGTGTGCAACCAATGATATGGAACTCTAAAATATGGGACAGGAACTTGAGAGAAGGAACAGTGCCAGAAAATAACTACATTTAGAGGGTTGGAATGAAGAAACAAATCGAGAAGTGAAGGCTGGAGTATAACGCCCTATGGGGGAAAACAAAGATAGTACCATTGTCACAGACGGCAAGAGGCTATAAGGGTATGCAGACAAGGGGCTATTTTAAATGCCTTTTTGTATAAAGATACTTTGCTTTGTTCTTTTTGCAGAGGTAGGACTCCTGGTCACTATCATCTAAGTAGCCATTTTTCACAGTGGTCATAGATGAATTTAAATGGACCATTTGCTGCATTAAGAATTTTCTTGTTGTTGGATATAAAATAAACCCACATAAATAATTAGCATTTTTATGTATTACTAACAAAGCCCAACAGCAGGAGATAGAAAGAGAAATTCCACTTAAAATCACTGTAGACATCACCAAATATTTGGGAGTCTACCTGCCAAAACCCAGGAACTATATGAACACAATTACAAAACATTTTTCACACAAATAAAGTCAGATCTAAATAATTGGAAAAACATCAGTTGCTCATGGGTAGGCCGAGCTAACATAACAGAAAAACCTGGAAAGACTTATATGAACTAATGTGGAGTGAAGTGAGCAGAACCAGGAGAACATTGTGCTCAGTAATAGCCACATTGTGTGATGACTAACTCTGATAGACTTATCTTTTCTCAGCAATGCAAGGATCTAAGTCAACTGCAAGAGACTCATGATGGAAAATGCTATCTACATCCAGAAAAAGTACTATGGAGTCTGAATGCAGATTGAAGCATATTATTTGCACTCTCTCTCCTTTTTTTTTCCTTTGGTTCATTCTCGTGGTTTCTCCCATTGGTTCTAATTCTTCTTTACAACATGAGTAATGTGAAAATAGGTTTAATATGAATGTATATGATAAGCCTATATCAATTTACATGCCATCTTGGGGTGGGGGGAGGGAGAGATGCGGAGAAAATTTGGAACTCAAAATCTTATGGAAATGAATGTTGAAAACTAAAAATCAAATAAATTTATTTTAAAAAAAAATAAAGTTACCAAAAAAAATTTTCTCGTTAAGAATTTGACAAGTATTTGAACATTTACCTTATGCAGGATGAAGTACTGTGCTGGATACTTCAAATTTTTTGTGTAAAAGCATTTTTAACCCCAAACTTGGATCTTTTGAGTCAGAAACTATAGTTTGAGAAAAAGTCACTAATATACTTTTCCATTTTTTAAGATCTTCAGAATAATTCATCATTCATGTACTTTAATTATTATACTTTTAAAAAATGTTGCAAGTATTTTGTTTTCATTCTTTTTGAAAATGAGATTTAACAAATCAGACTTGCAAAACTAATAGCTTTCCCAAAGTATTCAACTACCATCATTTCAGCAATTTGCTTTTGCTCTCTCTTCTATTTCCACCCTTATTCCCTGTAACTCTTTCTTAAAAGGACAGTTAACAGTATGAGGCAGGCAGTTTAATATCTGAATGTCTTCCCTGATTACTCATAAAGTTTGCAAAACATAGGATGCACATACAACATATAATATGTAGAAATCTTTTTATTCAAAAATGAACATTAGTGTAATTTATATTTTGAATAAAATGTAAGAATAAATGCTTAATAGTAATCCTTGAAGTGACTTTATTTCTAGAGGAGATAAAATAAAAGACAGTGTGCCTAGTGCTATAATCTGGCATTTCCAAGTAAGTTGGGACAAAGTAGGACACAGCTGTTAGGGGAAAAAAAAACAATGCAGACTCATTCTTTACATTTAATACAGCAATCATCTTCCTATTAATGTTTTTCTGAGGCAATGACCTAATAGACTGCAGAATCTTTAACTGTGTATATTTATTTCTTGGAACTTTTATTTGACTTTTACTTTGCTGTTGCTGCTTTTTCTTAAGATGATGTTTTCTTCATTTCTTTTTTTAGGCTAAGCAGCTGGAAGAGAAAGACAGAGTGCTAAAGAAACAGGATGCTTTCTACAAAGAGCAGCTGGCTAGACTGGAAGAGCGGGTATGACCATTTAAATTATCATTATTTTGTAATTTAAATAGATAACTTTGGGATACTTAATACTTTGATACTTGGAAAACATTTGTAATTTCATCAATGTGGGCATTCCCTCCATTGACACAGATCTCAGACCCTTGAGAATTGCCATGGTCTAAAATTCATCATCTGAAAGACTCTTGATCTTCTCAAGTTGAGTCTCTTTGCACTTAATTAGGTTTATCCTTGGAAGACAGACACTTAGTCTGATAATATCTGTTAGAGTGTGTTCTCTCCTGAAGAACTAGAGATACTAGTTTGTGATAAGGTATTGTAGTAGGACTTTATTGAAGGAATTCTTGGATAGATTATTTTCAAATTAAATAATCTGAACATAGAAACTAGGTTAATCTATAATAACTACTCGATAAAAACAAAACTAAACTGATAAACAAAAAGCACAACTTTTTGGTGAGGAAGTGAGGCATCTGAAGATAATGGTAAAATCATTTCTTCTTTTCTAAAGAATGGCATTGCTGTTTCCATAATTTCCTCTGTAAGCATAAAGTTCACAGTGGAGCATTTTATGTTATAGCTATACCAATGATTCCATTGATATATGGAACTTTCACCTGGGGAAACTCTCTCTACCAGTGCAACTGTTTGCCTTGAGTGGTGATTGATATGTGTTTTGCCAGGGTCACATAGCCAATATAACTTGATACCAATAACTTGAACCCAGCTCCAAGGCCAGCTCTGTTCTGTACCATGCTGCCACTCTTATCACACATTCTTAAAAAAAAAAGTTTCTCTTACGCATTTAAAATCACATGGCCTCTGACTCATTTAATGTCATTGTTAGAAGGCAGCAAATAACTCTTATTGGACAGTGAAAAAGTAGAAAGCAAGTAGATTTTATTCAGTAGGTAGCAGATAGTGGTCATAATTGTGTTGGTATTTCTTTGTATTCTCAGCTCTTAGCACAAGGCTTGGTAAACAGCAAGCACTTAAAATGCTTGGTGACTATTGATTAATGATTGTATGGCCAGAAATATTTTGAAAAGGCAATGTAGTATAATGTGAAAAGAAATGGATTAATTAATCTTAGCTCCTTCACATACTGACTGTTACTATGCATGAACAAGTCAGGATAGCTTTTCTGAACCTGATAGTATTTGTAGAGTGTTTTGCCCAGTGTCTGGCACAAAGTCAGTGCTGGTAAATGCACATTCCTCTCCCCTTCTTCTCTCTTTCCCCTTCCTCATCTGTACAATGTAGTTGGGATCACTATGTATTTCTCTCCCCAGAAGAAAATATTTCATAGGCTTCTTAGGAAGAGAAAGTACTTTGTTAACTTTTGAAGGGTATATAAATGTTTGTAGTTGTTATCATCCAGTATTCTAACACAGAAACTAATCAAGGTTATATAAATGATGACTCTCCCCACAAAAGCCTTAACGTAAAATCTATGAAACATTTATTAAATTCACTGTGTTAAGATAGAATTTCACAAATGGACAGAAATGTAAAATTCACAAATGGACTTTTAGGAACACAAATTGTGGACTGCTTTTGTCATTGATACAGTTTTCTTTGTTTAATGCTTTTAAGTAAAATTTTCTCTTTCACTTAAATACATTGAAGTATTCTAATTGGCAAGAAATAAATACTAATGGAATGACATTAGAATGTCATATTCAACAGACATGTTGGACATAAGGGCTTAGTTAAAATATTCATAGTGTACTGAATGGTCTCAGACAGCACAGTGAGAAGCAACATTGAGTGGTACTGGTGGAGAAATGGATAACAATGTGGAGTTCCTGGTTATTCTGTTTTTATCTGCCTTATGGTCATCAGTATCCTTGGAGTTTGTTTTAAATTGTGCTAGAACTGATATATGCCCTTTGGAATAATGAACTGCTTCTGTGCTAACGACAAGAGGAGACAATTTAAGATATTAGATTATTTCCTTTTTAAGAAATTTATTATTATCTTCTCTATTTACATTTCTTGATGTAACCCTCTCCCCTCTCCTTCCCAAAGAAGGAATTTTAAAAGGAAAAAAATAAAATGTTCAACAGAACTAACATGTCAGACTTCTTTAATATTATATGCAATGCTTTTTCCACCCTTTAGCCCCTAACCTCTACAAAAAATCAAAAGAAGATGGCTTCTCCTATCACTTTTTTAAGACCAAGCTTGCTTGCAACGTTCAATTTTATTTTGTGTTTTTTTCCCTTTTATGTTGTAGTTATTGTGTATGTGTGTATATTGTTTTCCTAGTTAGGCTTACTTCATTTTTCATCAGTTCATATAAGTCTTTTCATGCTTTTCTGTATTCATCACTTCTTATAATGAAGTAATATTCTATTGCATTTATATACTACAATTTGTTTAGCTATTCCCCTACTAATAGACACCTACTTTGTTTCCAGTTCTTTGCTGACACAAAAAGTGCTACTATATGAGTCATTTCTTTTATCATTGACCTCTTTTAATAGAGATGATTTTAATATTAGGATATTTGTAGTGATATTATTTGGGTGTTATTAAACTATTTCTAAATTTTTATTTGCTTTCACAATTTCAATATCTTTCTCTCTGCTCCATTCCCTGCCATTGTCCCTTGAGATTTAAGCATTGAATAATTGATTCTTTCAGTCAATAAACATTGATTAAATATGTCCTGGTTGTAGAAAATCTTATTCATTGTTGGAGAAAACTTAAAAGTTTAGATAAAGTAATTCATGTAACTTATCATCTAGTACAAGGAAAAGACAAATCCAGGGCAAAAGGCACTTCACAAAGGATCATATAATGATTACTTTGGTGAATTATAAGAATCAAGTGCTTTGCGAAGCCCAAGTAGGAAAGCTGTAGTGACAAGGAGAGTGGATCATGATGGCTCTAAGGAGGTAACATTTCATGGGGATTTAAATCATAAGTGGGTTCTTGCAACTTTGTCTCACTTAAATCCAATTTACACACAAATCAAAAGACGTCACCCATACCATTTTACCAATCTCAAAGGCCTGTGGCAACAGGCAAGTGATGAAATAGCAGGGGCGGATACATTGGGAGCTGTAGTCACAGAGGTGGCATAGGCCATAGGGTTGTTTTCTCACTGGAAGGAGCAGTGGGATTTGGCAGCCCCCTGTGTGTCTGAGCAGCCTTTTAAGGATTGCACTGCTTACCTCCTTGGTGTGAGGAATAGGTTAGAAAAGGTTCCCTAAACCTGCTTACCTAACCCAACCTTGATCTGAGTACAGCAGGAGGTGGGGAATCCCACTCTGCAGTTGAAACATAAAAAAATTTACAAAACTGTCTCTAAAGACGATTCCTCTCACCATTGGCTTATGGAATGCGCATACACTTATAGACCCGAAAGATGAACAGCTCTTGTTGCAAGAGAATTCAGTAAGTATCACATTCAAATAGCATCCCTAAGTGAAACAAGGCTGGCAAATGAAGGCCAGCTTACTAAAGTTGGAGCTGAATACACATTTTTCTGGAGTCGCCACAGTGATGGGGAGCTCTGTAAAGTTAGCATAGGTTTTGTGATCAAAACTAATCTACTCAACAAGCTTGTATGCCTACCAAAAGAAGTGAATGAATGACAGGCTCATGACAGTGTGATTGCCACTTGCAGGAAAACATCATGCTGCCATCATCAGTGCCTATGCTCCTATCATGATGAACCTTTATGAGGTTAAACAAAAATTTTATGAAGACCTGCAGACCCTTATCATCAGTGTGCCAAAAGAGGACAAACTTGTAATTCTTAGTGCCTTTAGTGCTAGGGTAGGCTTAAACTACCATACTTAACAGGAAGTCCTAGGAAGGAATGGAGTTGGAAACAGCAACAGCAATGATCACTTAACTACTGAAGACTTTTGCATCTCATAACCTTCACCAACACTTACCCAAATGCAATAAAACTTTGTGGATGTTTCTTCACAGCAAACATTGACATTTAATAGACTATGTCATTGTAAGGAAAAGAGACAGAGGATGTGAGAATGATGAAGGCAATGTGTGGCACAGAGTGCTGGACTGATCATGGACTTATTCTCTCCAAGCTGAATATTCACATTCAACAAAAGCAGCATCCCTAAGGCAAAATGACTACCAGAAAAATTAATGTCAACAGATCAGAACTCTTCTCTGAGAGGGAACAGTTAGTTTGTTGCTAACTTGGAGGGAAAGTTGAACAAACACACAGTTGGCAAAGGTGGAGCAGAAAAGGAGTGGACAGTTTTCAGAGATTTGGTGTATAGCACTGCATTTGCTCAGCTGGGTCAGAACACTGGCAAACGCTAGCAAACTGGTTTGATGAAAATGATTGGGAAATTCATAAGCTGATAAATGAAAAAGGAGAACTCTACAGGGTTTACCTGCAGGATAGTTCATCCAGCTCTAAGAAGGCAGCATTTAATTCCATTAAAAATAAAGTACAAGCAAAGCTTAGAGAGATGCAGTATTCTTGGCTCAGTAAGAGGGCAGGTGAAATTCAGTTTTATGCTGGTAGTAGAAATCCAAAGCACTTTTATGATGCTCTGAAGGCTATTTATAGGCAAAAGACCTATGGTGCATCTCAGCTACTCACTGTTGATGGAGCTACATTCATTAGTGATAAGGACATGATCCTAGAGAGATGGGCTGAACACTTCCATAGTGTTCTCAACAGACTATCATCAATCAATGCTGAGGCCATTTGACTGTCATGACTGAATGACTGAAGTCATTCCTTCCTTAGCTGAAGTTCCAACTGAAGAAAAGGTTTTGAATGCCTTTAGGCTCCTTTCTTGTGGCAAAGCACCTGGTGCTGATTCTGTTCCGGCTGAGATTTACAAGGTGGGGGGTCCACTGCTCATACATAAGTTGACTGAAATTTTCCGGGTTATATGGGAAGAGGAGGTTATCCCCCAGGAGTTTAAGGATGCCTCCATTGTCCATCTCTGTAAAGGTAAAGGAAATAGATTGTCCTATGACAATCACAGGGGTGTCTCTCTCTTAGTCAT